ATCCTGACACAAAGGAGGTATGTTGAGGAAGATGTACGGGTACTAGAGGGAGTCTGAAAAGACTGGCATTAATGTCATGCCAAATGTACATGACTTTTTTATTCTCAAATGAGTGCTGTAAACAGTTTATGGGAGAAGTCAAAAACAAATAAGGTAGGTTAACAAGAGGAAAAGATGAAGAACATACATAATTTAGCAAACAAAATTAAATGAAAGTTAAAATGTGTTATTTAAACAAGATACAGATTGGTCGGGCATGGTGGCTCATGCCTATAATCCTAGCACTCTGGGAGGCCAAGGCAGGAGGATTACTTGAGGTCAGGAGTTCAAGAACAGCCTGAACAAGAACGAGACCCTGTCTCTACTAAAAAATAGAAAAAAATCAGTAGTGCGTGCCTATAGTCCTAGCTACTTGGGAGACTGAGTCAGGAGGATTACTTGAGCCCAGGAGTTTAAGGTTGCTGTGAGCTAGGCTGATGCCAAGGCACTCTAGCCTGGGCAATAGAGTGAGACTATGTCTCAAAAGAAAAAAAAAGACTGACATAGATAAGATACAGATAGAGAGTAAGGCCACAGCTATTAGTTTGGCTTGGGGTGGGGATGGGGGTTGTTAAACAAGAATTGTGTAGACTGGGTAATCAGCAAAAGCCAAGGGATAAGCTGGCCTGACAAAGAAACCCTGAATTCCAAAGGCAGCTTTGCACCCCAAGTCAATCAGAAAAATGCCTGGTCTGGAGAGCTAATGCCAGCCAGCCATTCTGCCAGCAGAAAGATGTCCTTGTTACAGCAAATCTTCTGCATCCTCATAATCTCATGAATTTTTTAAACTGTCAAGCTTAACATTTTAAGGGCCAGGTTTTAATTAAATTCAGGTTAGTTTTGAAGCCTCTGAACCACTATCAGGGACATTTTTAAGGCTATACTTATAAATCTCTTTAGGCAACCTCTATTGAAATTGGTCTCTGCCAACTATATTCTTACACCTTTGTGAAGGACACCATGTGGGAAAAGACCACCTCAAGACTGAATAAAAAACGTTTCGATGAACTGTCAATTTTAACTTTAAAAGAAGTTCATTCAGGACAGCAGGATGTTTGTAATGTATGCTTTGTCACTCTTCCTGGTTCTTCTCCATGTTTTCCCCTTTGCAGCGCCTTTGGACGGGAGATGCTGAAGCGGAACATTGGTGTAGTTGTGGTGGGATTTCCTGCTACCCCAATTATAGAGTCCAGAGCCAGGTTTTGCCTGTCAGCAGCTCATACCAAAGAAATACTTGATACTGTAAGTAACTACTTACAGTACTACTAACTACTAACTACTTGATACTACTTAAGTAGACACGTTCACCTTGGTATAAATAGGCCTTATATTAAAAGGGCCTGTATATCAGATGAAAGTAATCATATGTTGATCCTGATGTTCTTTCAGCACCTAAGATACATTTACTGGTAAGACAGAGGAGGTGGTGGTACACAATGCTACTGAAAACATTGCTATTTAATTTAAGAAATGCAAAACCCTTAGCATCACCCACCAGACCCAGCATCATCAGAGCTCTGGAGAATTTTTCAGCTTCATCTTGTTCCACCATATCCTTCATTATAGATTCTACAACTATACAATTCTCTTTCTACTCTAGCTATTTCTGCTTTAAGCTTTCTCGTATATTGTTTTAGTTGTAGAATTTTTTCTCTTGATCTTTCTCTCCCCTTTGCCTGGTTGAATGCTACTCATTCTTCACATTTCCACTTAAAGGACTTCCAAATCTTCTTGCTGTGTGTTCCCCTGGAATCCTGAGATGCCCTTTAGTAAATTCTTCACACCTATAATTATTTAATGGCAATCTTCTCCATTAGATAAATTTTGAGGATAGAGACTAAGTCTGTTTCTCTCATTCTATATCCTTACCACCCACCACAGTGCCAGGCACCTACCCGGGGCTCATCATGATTACTGAATTATTTATGAGCTCAATATAGTCTCATCTCTTAATATGCTATTGTTTCACATCTAAGATTTCAGACTTTAAGTTAAAGTATTGCTTTCTAAGAGTTTATAAAGCTTTTTAGAACATGACATTTGCATAAAATT